AGAGAAGACTGAGGTTGAGAGGAAACCTTTGAAATTGAGCTGATTTTTTTTTTTTTTTTTGGTCTTAGTGGGTGGCGGAGCTGAATTGGGATTTGGGCCAGGGGACAGGGGGGCTGGGCAGGCCAGTACCACTCCCAAAAGGCCAGGAGCTTCCTGCTCAGGACTTAGGCCCACATTACTTTCCCTGAAGAGGTTTCCAGAGGCTTTTCTTGCTGGCTGGTGGAAGGCCAGGGTGGAATCCAGCTCACCCTTTCCCTTGCCCCAAGCCCCACATGGCATTTCTGGGCCTCTCAGTCCCCCAGACTTGAAGGCCAATCCCCTGGCCCAAGTACCGGCTGACCAAGCGAGGGGTGTAGGTGGCTGAGAGGGGCTGCTGGTGAGCATCCTGCTTTCCCTTCCCTACACCCCAGATCTGTCAAGAGTGGTCTAGGGTGTGCCCAGTGATGGGAGAGACAGGCCCCCAGAGAAAAGACAAGTGGAAGGGCAGTGGAGTGGGGGAAACATTTATTTGACTTCAAGGAAAGCTACAAACAAATACCAAAAGCGAATCACTGAGACAGGCCCGGCAAAGGCAAAGACAGATTCCACACGTAGCACAGCATCCACTCGCTCACTACAAATGGTCTTGGAAGCGAAATGGGGGGGGGGGGATGGGTCTGACCCAGACTGTCCCCATATTTACAAGCTTTGGGCCCTCTACTCCAGACCCATGGATTCACAGAGAAATACACAAGACATTTTACACTGAGGATTATTTTTGTTTCCGTCCACTCCCAGGCCAGGCCTTGTGGGGCCTACCCAGGTGGCAGGAACTGAACTCTCAGGGTTTACCTTCCCTCTTCTCAAGATCACCCCTTTGGTCCTCCACGCCCCCTTCCCACCCTCGGACCAAGCCACTGGGAGACTTGGGCCTGGGGAGTGGGAAGGGAGGAGGAGGAGGAGGGTGGAAAGAGACAGTCATGGACTCCATCTCGAGGCCAGCTCAGCTGGGCCCCACACTGCGGCACTACCCCACCTCAACAGCTGCCCCTTAGAGAAGTTTCAAGCTGAAACTCAAAATACAGCGACCATCCTTTATAAATAAGTTAGAAGAACACAGATGGGGAGGGGAAAGTTCACGTTAAACATGCGAGTTTCTTTCTTTCCTGGGGGAAGGAGTGCAACCACAGACACGAACATTCAGAAACACTGGCGGATTTGGGGTGAGTGGAGGGGCGTGGGGAGCAGGGAGGGAAAATAATAATTATTATTATTAACAATAATAACAAGATTAACCAGTCCAGGAGAGAGGGAGCCACAGGAAGACCTAAGACCAAACGAAAAATCGTAACACAAGGCCGGGGCGAGGCAGGCTCATGGGAACCGGTCCCCAGCGGGCAGTGGCAGCGCAGGGAGGCTTGGAGGGGCCAGGGCTGGGGGGCGGCAAGGGCTCTTGGGCCACCCAGGGCTCCTCCAGGCGGGCTCAGGGCTGGAAGGCGCTGCCGGCTGTAGCCAGGCTCATACTTTTCAGTTTGTTGTCTTTCTTCCACTTCATGCGCCGGTTCTGGAACCAGATCTTGATCTGGCGCTCGGACAGGCAGAGCGCGTGGGCGATCTCGATGCGCCGCCGCCGCGTCAGGTAGCGGTTGAAGTGGAACTCCTTCTCCAGCTCTAGGGTCTGGTAGCGGGTGTACGCGGTCCGGGCCCGTTTCCCGTCCGGCCCGGTCATATCTGGAGCAGACAGAGTAGAGCCGCGAGGCAACCAACGTTAGTCCGGTTAAGGGAGGGGGCCCTGGATGGGAGAGGGGCGTGGAGCAGGACCCAGGCGTCCCCGGCACCCAGCTCACCGCAGCTCCAAGCCTCCCCACTCCAGACGCCCGCATCCGAGCTCGCTCCTACACCCCCTTCTCCTGCAGCCCCCACTTCTGCCGGCTGCGAATGCGCCCGGCTTTGTCTCTTGCTCCCTCCCAGTGCCTCACCCTTCGCTGGGCTCAGGCGGCCGCTCGCCCCGGGAGGGAGGAGAGCGGCTGCACTTTTGCCCTGGAAAGCTCCTATTACTGCTCGCCCCTTCTTTGCTAGCAGCAGCGTCAAAATTTCGGGGGTAAGCAGGACCCTTCCCCGCGTTACATAAACCCCATCCTTTATCCCATAGCTAGTACAGCTGGGCGAATAAAACCTTAGCCGAAGCTGGAGACAAATGATTAAAAATACTCCTCCCCAGCTAAAGACCTAGACCTTCTTTGGCTCTATCCCCCCCGAGCTGGGAGGACCCTCTTAGAGACTTCTCCACCTCTGGAAAAAAAATAAATCTATATTTGAGGAGAAGCCAAGCTCTCCTCGCCTCCCTCCCCCCCCCTCCCCAAACGCAGAGAAGGAAAGCCGAGGAGACAAAAAAAGGGAGCGAAAGCGAGAATTACCATGGCTGATGTGAAGCTTCCTCATCCAGGGGAATATCTGCGGAGTCTGCCCCTCGGGCGCGGCTGTGGAGGTGGCCATGGGCTCTGGCTGTGCCCGAGCTAGGCTCGGGCTGCTTAGCTGCCTCGCCGCTTCCTCAGGCTCCGAGGACGCGCTGGCCTCGTCTATTTCGGTGAAATTGGCGCTGGAGCTGGCCGGGGTCGCCTGGTCGGAGGGGGACGAAGCAGAGGGCTTGGCGCCGTGGCTGTCGCCGTTGGTGCAGGGCAGGGACTCGGGCGAGGACAGGGAGCAGCTCGACGCCGCTTGCCTGAAGCGGGGCTCCTGGGCGGGCGCGGGGAAGGCGCGCGAGCTCTCGCCCACCGCCCCAAAGTGGCTGGAGGAGGCCGAGGAGCGGTTGACGCTGAGGTCCATCCCATTGTAATTGTAGCCGTAAGAGCCGGTGTGCATGGCAGCGGGATCCCTGTAAGAGCCGCTCAGAGAGCTGCCACTGCCATAATTTAGCAACTGATAGTCCGGGCCATTTGGATAACGCCCCGAGAAGGAGTTTACAAAGTACGAGCTCATTTGGGTGATTTTGGAGGGCTTGATTTGTGGATCGTGGTCGTTATAACCCTGTGCTTCACGATTTATGATGTATTAATGAATTATAGCGATGCACTGTACTTCGTTTTGCTATGTATGCGGCCAAATATGGGGGGGGGTTGGAAGGGGGATGGGGGGGCGTTAGGGAATCACGTGCTTTTGTTGACCAGTCGTAAATTCTCGCTGATGACCTCAAGAGGTAATTCATGCTCTATGGTTACAAATAATGACGATCCGAGAATCGTTAGGGCCGATTCAATGCGAGCCTCCGAGAGAGGGGGAAAAACGGAGAAGGGGGAGAAACAGGGAGAAGGTTGGCGGCGGCCTCTGAGCAGAGCGCGCCACCTCCCGGCGATCGGCGGGAGCGCGGGCCGCAGACTGCCATGGCGGAGACGGGGGCCTCCCTGCTGGCTCCCTGCAACCGCCGGGCGAGAAGGAAACCCGGCCTGGGCTCACCCGCAGAGTTGAGTCTTTTAGAGGAGGGACCCACTTGAGCCTTCACCCACTTTCTTGGGAGTGGGGTTAGACTATCTGTGCCCTTCTCCCTGTCATTATTATTATTAGTGTTATTATCATCATTACTATTATTTTCACTCTGGATGAGATGATCAAAAATTGAGTTGCTTTTCCCTCACTTGGGCTTTGCAAGTCTCCGTGTTGGGGGCGGAAATGGGGGGGAGGGCTGGAAGATGTGTGTGAAAAACAATTACTGCAACGCGTTTCCCCGTGAGCTCGGCCTGGCCTGCTTCCTGCCCGGGCTGCCGTGGCCCACGCATAGCGTCCAGGCGCAGCTGGTATGGCTGGGCCCAGGGTTCCACGGAGAAGCTTTCACTTCTGTGCCTCTTAGAAGTTTGGGATCCTCTTCCTGACTTTCTCCTCCTCCTTAGCCCAGGCCCGGAGAATGGCAAAGCAGGACAGGGACCCCAGAGGAGGTGCAGGGCTGGGGCGAAGCGGCCTAGTTGCAGGGGAGAGACGGTGGCAACGACAGAACCGGTGGCTGGGGTTTGGGGTTCTGAGAGTTGGGGATCAAGGCAAGACCGTTTGCCCTCATCACCAGATGCCCGCTATTGCACTGGGAGGCCCCACTCGAGGCCCCTCGCTGACGTCTGGGTAGTTTCAGAATTTGCCCGGCGGCCCACATCTTCCCTGGAAAGGGGTTCCAAGGACCAGCGGCGCCTTGCCGAGCACGCTGGGCGGCCAGAGACCGCCGCAGCTGGGCTCCTTCTGCCGGGCGGCTATTTTCTTTAAAAATAAAAAAGGGAGAGAGACGGCGGAGGAAGAAAGGAAAAACAGTGTCCGCAGCTTGCCGCCTGGGGGGAGGGTGGGGGGTGGGGAGAGAATGGGTCGTTTTTGGTTGAGGGGATGGGACCAAGACGCCTCATCACCTGGACTCCTGCCCTCAGGTCTCCAAGGAGCAGCGGAAAGTCGTGCCCTTCGCCCCGTGCCTGCCGGCCGCTTCGAATTCCCCTACTTGTCGCTGAGCTCCTGCTCGAGGCAGGAAAGGGCGTCCGGAGCCTTCAGCTCCGGGCGGAGAGACACCCGGTGGCCCCGATTTAGTCTCCGGAGCCACAGGCCCCGAGCCGAGGGCCAAGGCTGGCGGAGATCAGGCCATGTGGGCAGGCCAAAGGCTGCGGGCCTCGCGAGCGTGAGGACAGAAAGACGCTGCTGAGGCGCGACACCCGCCTGGCTGTCTCTGCAGGGGCTCCGGGCTCGGGGCCTCGGCGGTGTCCCTCGTGCCACGGACAAACGAGGAAAAGCTTAGAGAATAAGAGGGAAACGGCCCTTCTCTGTCCCCCAAGTCTGCACCAGGAGAGGCTGTTGGGAGCTCAGCAGTGGCGAGGCGCAGCGCCGGAGCCTGGGCGGGACCGCCCCAGCCTCTATCTCAACTGTAACTTCCAAGTCGCGTCGGGCCGGCCAGGGCAACCAGGGCTCCCGCCTTTGCTGCGCAGTTTCCGGCACTGGGACGCTGGGGTGGCCTTGGGGGTGGGGGAGTGGCAGGGGAGGAGCAGAGGTGACTGAGCAGCGAGTTTTTACATCTTTATTATTATTATCATCATCATCATCATCATTATTAATAATATTAATATTATTACCGAAGTATTTCACGTCCAGAGCTAAGACAAGACTACAAACACGACACATAGAAAATTAATAAAATAGAACTTTGTTTTCTTCTGAGGCTCCTCTTCTTACTTCTAGGTAGTATGTGCTCCTTCCAGTGGCTTTAGGGAGGGGCTGGGAGAAAGGTCTGGGGTCAGGGAGTCTTCGAGGCCCCTGCTGAGGGGACTGCGAATCTACCATTGAACCGTGCACGGGGGACATGGACGAAATGAGACGCGACACGGACAAGAGCATTTTGCTCTGCTTCCAGGAAACATCAAGTGAATCCGGTCCTCAGTTCTCACAGGGGAGCCTGATGGGGCTGAAGCGGTCCCGCAGGGATGGAGGGGGCGCTCCGGGTGCTGGGTGGGCTCAGGCGGCAAGGCCTCCCAGCACCCAGGGAGAGCTCTGCGGGTGGGGGCGTCCAGGAGAGCGCTGGGCCCCGCCTGTAGCGTGCTAGAGAGCAGGTCCCCCGGGCCCCCCGCCCGCAGAGCCTTCTCCGGGCTCTCCGACGCCCTCGGCTCCCCACAGGCTGCTCCCTTCGCGTCCCCCCTCCCTTTCCGGCGCCTTCACTCGGCTGGCTTTTCTTCCTCCTCCTCGGCACTGAGCTGAGACGCGCTGAGCAGTTTGCTCTCCTTTTTCCACTTCATGCGCCGGTTCTGGAACCAGATCTTGATCTGCCTCTCGGTCAGGCACAGGGCGTGCGCGATCTCGATGCGCCGCCGCCGCGTCAGGTAGCGATTGTAGTGAAACTCCTTCTCCAGCTCTAGGGTCTGGTAGCGGGTGTAGGTCTGGCGGCCGCGCCGGCCACTGGGCCCAAAGGAGGAACCTGTTACGCAGAGAGAAGATGCTGAGGCCTGGGGTCACCAGGGCCAGAACCCCCTCCCCCACTCGACCCTCAAACATGGACTCTAGCCTGTCCCGGGATGCCCTGCACTCTTCGAGTTCCCTGCTTCCCCCCCCCCGCCCCCCGCAACTTCCTCACTCCTCCAGCGCCCCCTCCAGATTCCCTCCGGGTCTCCCAGGCCTGTGCCTCTGGTCTAGACTCTTGGTGGGGGATGGGAGGCGAGTTTAAAATCCCACCTGAGCCTAGGGGGAGGGGCTGGGGAAGTACTGGCCAGGTGTGTGTCTCTTCCTAGCCTTATCTTTTCTTTCCATCTATCTGACTCCCCCACTACCCTGTGATAGATTCCAGCCCTTAATCCGTAATGACGTGGATCGATCCATAGTCGGCATTAACTGCTCCTCACTTTCGTGTCCCGCTAATGGACATCAATTTGGGACTTAAGGCCGACAAATAATCCAACCTGAGACCCAGGCGCCTGCTTCTCCCTCTCTCCCCCTCGGCCAGCTGCCTCTCCCTTTCTTCCCCTTATTCTCCCTCCCTCCCTCCTTCCTCTGACTACCACCCCTTTCCTGGTGCCTCCTCTTTCCCCAGCCCCGAACCCCCAGGGAAACACAGTCCGGGACGGACTCAACTCTCCCTCTCGCCAGCGTCACGCCGCCCCCCTTCCCGTGACGCACTCCGTTTTTAATGGAACCGTCTTCGGGTGGGGGACCCGACCCGGGCTGCGGG